AGTCACTGATGGGGCAGGTTGCTACCAGAACAGCTCAGGATGCTCTTACTGTGTTCATAGGCTCACAAATGTATTTCCCAGCAGCAAGTGAAATGGTGATAAGGGGCATTTCAGTAGCATTAACCAGCTGACCTTTCCTAAAGTTCCTGTGGCTTCTGTAGATTACAAGTTTTACTTGTAAAGTTTATCCCTTTCTAACAAAGACACTTGGGTGGGGAGATGAGGATTTGCTTCTGTTTTCCTTCTCTAAGCTTGTGCTATAAATGACTTCAAAGAGGAGCAAAAGAACCTGAGGCATGCTGAGAAGGAGAGGTTCTGTAAACAGCCTGGAGCCATTGCCCTCTGTTAGTCATCAGGGTCAAGATAGTAAGAGTTAATGCAGGACCAGGACATCTCTATATTGGGCATAAAATGCTATATAAGGGCTATATAAAGGTATCTTGGGAATACTTCTGGTGTCAGCCTTGATATATATACTAAATGAATTACAAGGCAAAAGCTCCTCCTGTCCTCAGCTGCTCTGTTTTCCTGTGTGGACCTGGAGGCCTGTTGCAGCCCAGACATATTGCCTGTTGTCTTGGAGTGAGTCATGGTAATGGAAAGAAGCATTGTGGGGGAGCACAACTGCCTGAGCCTATTAAAAGCAGTATCAGTTTGAAGTTGCCTTTTTAAAAATAACATGACATGTGCCATTGCAGCAGCTGGCTAATAAGCAATTACTCTCAACTGAACAACAAGAGCAAAACAAAACATAAAAGAACCCAGTTATAACCAGAATGACAGCTGCTACTGCAGAAATTAATACAGTAGTGATCAGTCATCCTTGTCACTTATCTGTGGTATCATTTCTCACCCTTCTCACACCTAGTTTTAGAACAATTTAAATCTGTCTGTGGGTAGAAAGTGCAAGAAGGTCTTTGGTCATTTCCTGTGCAGATGCTGCAGCTGATGGTGTGAAGAATCACCTAGGATTGGTGAAGCCTGTAGGCAACTGCTTGTGTTCTGCACGATGATACAACTGCTCCAGATCTTCTCTATGACAGATTACTCTCATAGTAACAGAAATTAAGCCTGTGTGTAGGTGTCGCATCCAAGTTTCTTGTTTGATGTTTTGTCAAGCAGCAAGAAAATGTGAATACATGCTACATAAGGATGATTCAAAGACTGGTTCATTGGTCATTCAGTGGAGTGGGTTGGCATCTTTCCAAGCTGTTTCCAAGATTTTTTTTTTTTTTTTTTAATGTGGCTTGCCTCATTTTCTTTCTGTGTTCAGAAGTAAACCTGTTTTCTCACATATCTGCAGTTGCATAACCCTTTTTCTTTCTACTATGACTACACATCTCTGCCAACTACCAGAAATGCTTATATGGAAAAAACTTCATTGCAGCAAGGTATTTTTAGCTGCCTTCAGCAGAATTTAGTGGGAAT